TTTTCTCTCCCTTTACTTGTAACACCACACTCTCTGAGTTTGCCTCTCACCACTTTGACTAGTTTCTCTCAATTTCCTTTTTCAGTCCTTCCTCCTGTCTCCATCTCTACTCACTGTAATTCCTTCACCCTACATCGTCTTATCTTCTCACTCTCTCCCGGGGACCTCACCTCTTGGCTTTTGAGCCATCTAGGGCACTTCTATGGCTACCTTTACCATCTATGAGTTGATGGGTCCCAAATGTTTTTATTTCCTGCCAAGACTTATCTTTTGAGCCTCTCCCTCTCCTCATTCTCTCTTCTCCCTGTCTTATCTATTTCTTCATTCATCTACCCACATATCTATCCATCTGTCTGTCTAATATCCCTGTCTATCTAACTGTGTTCTACTGGGCATCTCCACTGGGTGTCCACTAAATCCATTATTCTCTCCTACAAACCAGGGAAATTTTTAGGGGTAGCTGAACTCAGGGGACTCAGGACATGGTCATCAGGAAAAGTCATGTCTGCTTCATTCCTTGGTTCTGCTTCCCCCAGTGCTGGCATCATTCTTAGACTGTTTCTACTACTGTAAGAGCGACATGGTTCCTAGTAGATTCATAGAAAAAGAGATCCCTCTCTTCCCAATAGTTATGTTAAAAGTTCTGGTATTGAATCTCATTGGTTCTGTCTGAATCATGTATCTGTTCAAACCAATCACTCTGCCCCAAGGTATCCCATGCTCTCTGACTTGACACCCTAGGTCATATGCACACTCTTGGAATTGGGGATGTGTCCAGCTTAACCCAATCATCTGTACTGAGAGTAGGGGAGATATGGTTTACCACAAACTGTCCAGGGAGGGAAGGATGAGTGCTGTTTCCAAAAGAAGTAGGGTATACATGCTGGGTAAGTTGGACCACTGGTCTCCCATTTGTGGATTTTAAAATGCATATCTGATAATGTCATGGCTTGGCTTCACATCCTCAGTGTATCTTCCTTACTTTTAGGATGAACTTCTGGCTCTTTATCAAGGCCTTCAAGTTTCTCTCAACCTCTTTTATCCCATTGCATTTTGGCTCTGCCTTTCTTGCTATGGTTCAACCACACTTTGGTTTTTACCTGATTTGGGTCATGTGCTTTTCTGCCTCAGAGTCTTTAAGTATTGCTATAGACGGAATGTTTGTGTTCTCCTCAAATTCCTATGTTGAAATCTTACCCCCCAATGTGATGGTATCAGGAGGTGGGGCCTTTGGTAGATGATTAGGTCATGAGGGCAGATGAATAAATCTCTGTTGTTCATAAGCCACCTAGTCTGTGGTATTCTGTGACAGCAGCCCAAACTAAGACAAACATGCCATTTTCACTGCCTTAGAACTTTCTCCTCTTTTCTATTTCCCCACCCTCATACTTTTGCTTAGCTCATTATCTTAAATGTCATTTCCCCAGAGGAGAATTCCTGATTTCTCAGGATAAGTTAGGTCCATTAGCTCCCATGGTCCCCTGTACTTCTCCACAGGATTGATCACAACTCTGATAGTTAATTATTTTTATAGTTGTCTGTCACCCTTCCCCCATGGACTTTATGCTTCATGAAGGCAGGAACTGTGTTTCATTCACTACCTTATTGCTAAATCCTAGTTCCTGGTGCAGAGTATGGCACACGGGAGTAATTCAGTGCATATTTGTTTAATGAATGAATGAGTGAACAAATGAGGGTTTACATGCTCTCTTAGCTCGGGCTGCTGTAACAAAATACCATAGACTGGTTGGCTTAAACAACAGAAATGTATTTCTCACAAGTTCTGGAGACACTGGAAGTCTGCAGAAAGATCAAAGTGCTCGCCAGTTTGGTTCCTGGTGAGAACCAGCTGCCTGGCTTGCAGGTGGAAGTCTTCCTTCTGTGTCCTCACACCAAGGCAAGGGTGGTGGGGAGAGTAAGCTCTCTGGTGACTTCTTACAAGGACACTAATCCTGTCCTGAGGACCCCAGCCTCATGATCTCATCTAAACCTAATTACCTCCCAAAGACCCTATCTCCAAATACCATCTCCTTGGGGGTTAGGGCTTCTGTATATAAATTTTGGGGAGACACGATTCACCTCATAGCACATGCATTATCTCATTTGACCCTTGATAACCCCATGACATAGGTCCCATTTCAGGATGAAGAAAAGGAAGCTTAGAAAGTTGAAACTACCCAAGGCCACTCAGCTAGGTAATGACAGAACTTGGAAGTTTTCAAATCTAGGGATATTTGCCTTAAAAGCAACTGTAGATTTGCTGCCTCATGAGGCCTCTGAGGCATCTTCCTGTTTGGTTTTGAGCCTTTTGGTGTGAGGGTACATGTGAAAGTGTGTGAAGCAGGAATGTAAAGGGGAGCTCAAATGTAGGGGAGTCCATACTGCAGAGCGCAGGAGGGCACCTGAAAGCTGAGGGAAAAGATACTGAGAAGGGAGATTTGTCCCCAGGAAGAGACTGGAAAAGGAGTGTGACAGGAAGCTGGACCCTGGAGGGCTGGAAATGGAGTTTGGGATTATGATGTCAACCATCATCAGGGAAATGTTCGACTCATCTTCCCTTTACCCTCTCGGCCTTGTTCCCAGGTCCTACACCCTTTTGCTGGCTGTGACAGGGTTTTCAGAACAGGAAAAAGAAGCGTGAAATAGGAGGAGCAAAAATAAGGTAGCCCCCGCCTTACACTGAGGCAGTGGGAGTTACAAAGTTCTCTCTGTCGGATAGATCTTAGAATAAGAACATTTCTCCCACACAGAACCAGTGTTAAGATAAGGGTGAGATTCGCACAGTCCTCAAAAGCCTAATTAACTCATGATGTTCTGGAAATAGCACCAGTAACAATATATCTCAATTCAGAAAGCATTTATTGAGCTCCTTCTCTGAAGCAGGAGCTATGGAAAGTGCTGGAGATTTAAAGGGCCGTGGGTGACTTCCCCTGCCCTTGTGTGATGATTTAGAAACTTTGGGGCACCAGCCCCTTATCTTTGCCATTATTTCTACAGAGAGGTGAATTCTCAGTCACGGCACACAGGGTGTGGGCCATGTCTGGAACATACTGACCTCTCTTCCTCTGGTTCCCTTTTCTCACCCTCCCATCTGCAGCCATTCCTTTAACTGAGCGCAGCCACTTGGCCTCCTAGTTCCTGCCAAGAAAGAAATTCAGGAGCTTGGCCTACCCAGTGCACTGAATTGAAGCCCTGTGTTTGACTCTTAGATAGCCATTTGGCTGTAGGGCGGTCACATAGCATCTCTGAAACTCAGGAATCAATTACATCCTAGATTACCTCACAGAGTTCTTGGGGAATATTAAATGATATGTATGTGCTTCATAAACAGTAAAGCATTACATAATGCAAAACAGTTGTGCTGATCCTCATAGAGTTGATTAGTCGGATGGGGCCTTAGAGATCTCCTATTGCCACTCAATATTTACTGTGTGCCAGGCTTTCTTCTACACACTTCACATGTAGTAGTCTGTTTAATCTGCAGAGCAGCTCAGTGGGGTAGTACTATTATTATCCTCAACTTACACATGAGGAACAGAGAAGTTAAATGACTTGTCCAGTGTCACATTGTAAGTAGCAGAGCTGAGATTCAAAGACAGGCAGTCAGGCAGGCAGTTAATCACCAAACCAAGCTGCCTCCTGTGTGCTCTATTACCGCCCTCTGATACTCCTCTGAGAGCACTCGACAGGATTATGATTGCTTGCCTTAGTGATAAATAAGCTACTGGAAGGCAGGAACTGTACCTCATTACACACACACACACACACACACACACACACCCCACAGTGCCTGCCACATGGTTGGAGCTCAGTAAATGTTTGTCGAATGCATAAATGTACTCAGGAGAGATACATAGCAAGTCTGATACTATCTACTATGTTTTTCCTTCATCTTTTCTTGGCTAACTATGCTCATTTTCTTCAGCCATTACCAGTAGGAGGTTCTTTGGCATTTCTCACTCACTGTCCTAATTGCCCTCCCCTGCACTTTCTCAACTTGAACAATGACCCACCTAAACTGGTAGAAGTGAACACTGTACTTGGAGAATATTCTCACCGGCACTGGGTATGACTACCCTTTCCTGCCCACACAGTGTATGTTCCTTGTCCTGGACTCTCTCAGGAGCCTACTCCTGCCCCTGAACTATTTGCCTGGGCAGGTTCTTGACCATGAAGCCAAGTGCCCAATGTGAACCTTAAGCCTTTACTGGTAGTCTAGACTGGTAAGGGGAATCCATTAAACGGTACCTCCCCTCTCCTTCCTTCACTTTTCCTTTCCTGGGAGGAGCTTAAGAACTTAGGGATTTCCTAAGTTCTTAAGGGAGAAAAGAGGTTATAGCTGGTGAGGAAGCTGGGGCAGGAAAATGCTTCTTCTAATCTGGAATCCAGAGAATTTGTCAATTTTGCTTCATGGCATGACTAAAATGAGTTTTCTTGTAGGAAAAAAAAATCAGCATAATTGACCTCATCTACTGGACTATATTTAAAGGGATAATGGGAAAAGATGTTTGATTTTAGATATGTTTTGAAAAATCCTGTATTGTAGTGGACAAAAAATATTTGCAGTGTGTCTGTTGGGTTCCTCAAATTGGAAAAGTACAGACTCTGGTTCTCATCACAGACTAAAAAAACTGACGAAAAGTGAGATTCGATTGTTAGATAAACTGGCAACCACATACACAATAATTGTCTATTCCAACCAGGGTTTTTATTTTTTGTTGTTTCGGTTAGACATTACTCTGGGGAACTAAGTGCCCCACTGGACACTCAGAGATCTGTTCTTTGAGTCGGGGTCAACGCCACCAGCTCCCAGAGACACTCCCCTCTGTGGGTCCGCGACCCCTCTGCTGGGGGGCGGTGCCGCGCCTGCGGGAGCGCGCGTCCGAGGAGCCGTCGGCGAGTGGAAGTGGAGGAACGAAAGCGACCTGGGGGAGCTAGCGAGGCCTCACGTGCGCGCTCCCGCCATCCAGCCCGCGTGCTCGCGCGCCCGCTCGCCCGCCCGCCCTCCCGGGAAGTCTCGCGATGCCGTAGCCCGGTGCTCCCGCTGCAGGAGGCGCAGGCTGTTGCTGTGGTTGCCTGAGTTGCTGCTGCGGCGGCGGCGACGGCGGCGGAGGCGGTGGCGGCCGCGGCGCTGGTGGAGGTGTCGGCTCTTGGGCGGATGTTGACATTGTGTTGTTGTTATTGCTGACGGTAATGGCGGCGGCGATGGCCGGGACCCCATCTCTTCTGTAGCCGACGCCGAGACAGCCCGGAGTGAACTCCGCGGCCTCGGAGCCCGCGGCAGCGACTCCCTTCAGCCTCCGCCGCCTTGCCAGCCCGTATCCCGGCCTCAGCCCCTGGACAGGCCCCTTCGGGCAGGGGGCCTCGGAGGCTCAGGATGGCGGATTTCGACGAGATCTATGAGGAGGAGGAGGACGAGGAGCGGGCCTTGGAGGAGCAGCTGCTCAAGTACTCGCCGGACCCGGTGGTGGTCCGCGGCTCCGGTCACGTCACCGTGTAAGGCCCGGAGGAGGGCGAGGGCGAGGACGGGAGGTGCAGGGCTGGGGCGGGCCCCTTACTCCGCGGGGGCCCTCTCGCCCCGGTGTGCGTCTGGTGTCGGAGGCCTGCGGGAAGAGTAGGCGACCAGGAAGTGAAAACTTGCTTTATTTTCATTGGTTTCGGTCTCTGAAGTGGGGACAGACGCTGCCCTCCCTCCCCCCGCACCCCTCTTAGTAGGCCCTTCGGGCCTGGGCGCCTTGACGGATCCCAGAAGGAAGGTTATTCTTCAGGGTCTGCCCTTCCGGCCACCCCTTCAGCTTTGGGGTGGAAATACGCATTTCTGAGGTGTCTCCCCCTGTTTTCTCATCCAGTTACCCTGTGCTTCTGTCTCCTCGTCTGTGCCTTTGAGCCTAGTGACATATGGCTCAGAGGCCAGATCTGGGCCGGGTGAGATCCCAGTGACGATCGGTAATGAGTGGTTCCCTGTCCTTGTGTATTTCACACACCCACAGGTCTTCCCAGTTTCTTGCAGAGTCAGTTTCTGCGGAACTAGTGCAAGTTCCTGTAATTGTATATGATAAAAAGTATATATGAACATATATATTTAAGATGCAGAACGATGTATGCTTACACATAATTTAAAAAAAAAATCTATGTGTTGGGCACACACTGCTCAGGTTACTGAGGGTTCTCAGTAATCTAAGTCCCTACTTTGGGCATGAACTCTGGGATGGCTTCTTCATTTGATAAGGGTTCCTGTAAGTCCAACTGGCAACATTTTAAAAGCGCAATATTATTCAAACAATAAGGAAGGAGAGCTTTCTGAAAGGTCATGACTAATAAAGGAATGTGAAGACTTGAACCAAATAATGAGCTGTCCGGAAGCAGGAAGTTTTGTAATGTTTCTCTGAGAAGTCCAGAGTTTTGTACAACTTGAAGTATTTATACTGTTTTTCATTTTAGATCTCTGTTCAAATCCTAGGTCAAACTTCATGCTTGTCAGATATCTCCCCACTTCACCCTTTTAGTAAAATAGAAGGGCCAGCAAGCCTGAGACTGTCTGGAACACTTTTCATTATATTTTTGGTTTAGGGTGAGTGGGTCTTGCAGTGAATAACTTTCAGTGAAACAGTAAGACTTTTCATATAAGATCGTCAGCAAAACCCTTTCATTTCTCAATACATGATGTGACCAGCCATATTGTTGTTTGGGTGTGCTTATGTAATGCTTTGATTTCTTTAGCACCTGTTAGTTTATATTCAGGTGACTTAACTAGGGTGAAAACGCTGCCGAAGTGCTGTCACAGTGCCATGAGAAGACAATGGAATTTATCACCACAATGACAGTTACTTAGTATTTTAACTGTTATCACCAGCAGAATTAAGGAATATAACCAAATATAGTGGGATATTAAATCTTTTTTTTAACACATATCACAGAAATTTTTAAATCTTCAGAGCCTGCCATTTAAGTTTTGTTTGACTATTAGGACCTTTTTACATTCTTTTAAACCTAAGGAGTGCTTAAAGAAGAGTTTTCAAACTTTATCATGTTGTCTGCCCACCCTGCCCCTTACATTCCTCTTGTCAAAAAAAAAAGCTGGCAATATTTTATTTAAAAAGGTGCAACTATAGTTAAATGTTTCCTCTGTTAAAAGGAAAGAAAAGCTAAGTACTTTCTTGGGCATGATGGAAAATATAATAGGCGAAGTGCTCAGAACCAAGTAGGTGATTAGTAAATTTGATTTTAGTTGGCTGCTTAGAGAGGTTAACAGAGTGGAGAGAATTAGTAGTGGTTCTCAACGTTAGTTGCCCATTAGAATCACCTGGGGAGCTTTAAAAAAAAAAGCCTTGTCTTTGCCCCAGTTGAAAGCCAGTTATCTGAGTGAGTGTCCCAGGCTTGCATAGCTTGTTTAAAAAGTTGCACAGGTGATTCAAATATGTACCCAGGATTGAAAACCACTATTCCAGAGTATAAGAGGAACTATATGCCACCAGTAAACAGTATGCCTTTCTACGAGGGGAGTTAATTTTTCTGTGGTCTCCCTCAGCAACTTCCCTTTCTTTCCTGTTACCTTGGTTCCAGGCTCTGGGTTCAGATCTATCCTCTGCCACTTTTTGGGTAAATTATTTACATCTAAGACTCTTCATTTAAGATGGGGATAGTTATAGTCCCTCACTGTTAAAATTATTAAGGATTAATTGAGAAAATACATGCAAAGAATTCATCACATTGTATGGTAATGTGCTCAATAGATATTAGCCTTTATTATCAGTCACACACACAGTGTTCCACTTTGAGAAACATAGGAGTAAAGCACAGTACTAAGAAATCCGAACTGCCGTTTTCAAACCTAATAGTGATTCACTTTAGTCTTGTTTTTCCATTTCTAGACAATTTGTATGAGGTTAAATTATTGTGTGAAATATTTCAGTGAGGATTAATAAGAATCTTTCTGCATTGAAAACCTAATCCTGTTTTGTGGTGCCATATATAAATATAGTAACAGTAATGCAAAACTTTTTTTACATGACTCTGTCATATATAATTCACAGGCTTACTGTGCCAATAGGAACCCAGTTGACACCTATAAAGGTTTCTGAAATTGGTGTTTATGGGTTGCTATACCTGTTGAGCATATTCAGTTTTTCTTGCCTTTAAGTACAAATGGGGGGACTTCTCTGGCGGTCCAGTGGTTAAGACTTCGCCTTCCAATGCAGGGGTTGTGGGTTCGATCCCTGGTTGGGGAGCTAAGATCCCATATGCCTTGCGGCCAAAAAACCAAAATATAAAATAGAAGCAATATTGTGACAAATTCAATAAAGACTTGAACAATGGTCCACATCAAAAAAAAAAATCTTAAGTATAAATGGGAAGAGCTATTAAAATAGTTATAATAAGACTGGTTAAGCTTATCACTGCAGCTGCCCTACCCCCTACCCATTTATTTAAACTAAGGAACTGTTCAGAGCCCTTTTCCCTTGAAAGGCAATTATAGTGTAATGTATAGAATCATCTGTAATACAGATCAATCTGAAAAGATATAGAGCCATCCATATGTGTTTTTCACAGATTTCACTTTTGAGTAGACCCTTATAGTTGAATATTTCTACTCTTTTTTCCCCCTATGATTTACTACATCGTATTATAATATTACTCTCATTTTAGACATTACTATATTCTCATATGATGTAATTTGGCACGTCATTATAGTGACGTGAGAATTTAAGTCACCTTCCATTTTCTACTACACAGGCAGGTCTTGGTTAGTTTTGTGGCATAATCAGATTTTGGGAACATAAGTATTTAAAATGTATAATTTGCCTAAACAAAGCCTGCTTTAATGTAGTTTCTAATAAAATTTTTTCATGTTGACCCCAAATCAGGCTTAAACTGTGTACCTCCATTAAGATCAGTATTCTTTCTTGATATTCTTCTACATGAGTATAATAATTTCCTTCATTTTTGGATTTGCATGTAGCAATATGAAACAGGGTGGCAGCTCCAACAGGAAGAAATCTTGTGCAGAAGCATATTTTGAGGAAAGTGGCATTTGAAGGAAGAGAGGGAAATGATAAGTTCCTGTTATTGCATAATGTTTATGTACATGTAATTTAAAAGGCTTGAACTCCCACTTCAATTAAAAGTAGATTTCCTGTGTGTGTGTTTGTGTTTGTGTGTGTGTGTGTGTGTGTTATTATGTAATGAAGGTGAGGGGAAAAAACTGATTAACTTATTAGGTGGTATTGGCCAAATTTGTTAATATTTTTAAATTATGGCGTTCTTTGCCCCTTAGAATAAATTTGTGTAAAATATAATGATCATTTGTTGAAGAGTTTGATTTTTCACAATGATGATAGTGATGTGTTAATATAAAAATTAGAATTTAAAACTGGTTTTAGGCCAGTATTTCCTGTCTAAACTATTATTATAACTGACATTAGCTCCTGTCTCATTTCATGCCCTCCCATATCAGAATCAAACTTGGAGCTTTCATAGGGCATGTATAGTCTTTGACTTCTAACATAAGCCCAGTCATAGAGCCAACTTATTTTACTGGGGTTTGTTTCTAATTTCACTAAATTATTGTGTCTTCGGGTACTTTCTTCTGAGATATAATCTTCCTGTCATGTCCACAAATAATTCCTCATCCTTTACCAGTTTTTATCAATGGCTGTGGGACATCACTCTCTTTGTCTTCATCTCAGTTAAGCTGTGAAAATTGAAAGATTTAGAAATGTGACTTGAAAAAATATGGGAACACTTTGGGATACAATAGGATCTTTGCATAGGAGACATCACAGGAACACTTTAGTGTATACTGACCTTTCAGATGGTAGAGTTAAAAAAAAAATTGTCTTGAAATGTATTGGACCAAGACTGCTTCTAGATGCTGTGGTTAGCAACAAGAGACCTGAACATGATTTGCCCAAATAACAGATTCACTTTAGTTTAACAGTTTGTTTTAAACTTTATAACTCTCACCTCCTTTCTTCCACCCGACATAATTATTCCATTTTTAAAGATTAAATTTTTTGTTTGGAGATTTTTGAAGATCTTATTGATATTTCTGCACAAAGCTGGATAGTTCTTTGAGGGCAGGAATTATGCTTCTTGGTTTTTATTTCTCCATTGCTTCATATAGTGTCTGGAATGTTATAGGTCCTGAAATGTTCTCTAAATAAGTGAGGTGATTGCATACATCTTTGGATCTTGTTAGAATTGTCAAAGGAATAACTGTTTTCTTCTTCTTTCTGTACCTACCAATGAAGGCAAACAATATTTTACAATAGAACTCTTATGAAATCACATTTATAAGATAAGTGGCCAGTCTTATTTCATTGATTTATTTATTGGCCGTGCTGTGCGGCTTGCAGGAGCTTAGTTCCCTGACCAGGGATTGAACCCGTGCCCTCGGCAGTGAAAGCACAGAGTCTTAACCACTGGACCGCCAGGAAATTCTCTGGCTTCTCTTTTTTTTTTTTTTGTAATGTATATATTCGTTTATTAAAAATCCA